ATCATCAAAGCTTTAAATCCCAAGAAATGGAAGAATTTATACGAAAAAATGGGATACAGCACATATTTACCCCTCCATATCATCCCTCTTCCAACGGACAAGTAGAGAGACAAGTGCAAACTATAAAGAAGAGAATCGAAAAATTACATCACAGCCAAGAAAAAAGTGAGGTGTTGCTCCCCAGACTTTTGTTTAGCTTACGCACAACACCTAGTAGCACTACAGGAAAAACGGCAGCAGAACTGTTGATGGGAAGAAGACTACGTACCGTCTATGATCGATTAAATCCACACCTATATAAGGAGAGAAAAGAGGAAACAAGAATACGAGAATTCCAAATAGGAGACAACATCAATTACAGATGTTATAGAGACGCTAAGAAGTGGAAACCAGGTAAGGTGACAAAGAAGACCGGACCATATACATACATGATAGCCTCACCAGAAGGAACTATAGAAAGAAGACATATTGATCAACTGATAGCTCGAAGAGAACAACCACTCCAGAACAAGCAACATCCAGTTTGTCAAAACAACCAACATCCAGCTCCCCAGAATAATCAACATCAGGACAAAGCACCACCGGTTAGAAGGAGCTCTAGAACACGGACACTACCGGCACATCTCCGAGACTTCATTTTAGAGGAGGAAGATCTGTTGTAACGTTGTGACTTATCTGTAGTAACTTGATCTGGGTGTCGGGTCAGGGGTGAACATTCCCCACATACCTTTCGGGAGTCGGGGAGAGTTCTTGGGTAGTCGTCACCCCAGTCGGTTGTATCGAGAAGGAATAAAGTTAGTTGTTGATTAACTACGTGTTTTTTATGTGCAACAATGTCGAAAACAAAAGCGATATAAAAACCTTCGTATCCCGAGTTTGGTGTGGGGACGTTTCGCTTCTTCGTACATTTGTGTTGTGTTTTCATCGAATCGTTCGGAATTTCTTTGCACGAAACTCTTTTAAATGCCGTCGTTGCGTTATGTTTATGTAAATTGCTCTAGAACGAAACACTTGTTACGACTTGGGCTCGAGATCGAGCCTTTTCCGCATGGCTACGTTTAATTTTCTGTCGTACAAATACAAGTTACACGTAAGAGAGTTTCTTCGTTCTGGGTCGGTCGTCTCTACTGCAAACGCAGTTCGAACGTTTTAGCAATTTCTGGTAGGATCTAATGCGAGCTATCCGAATTCCAATCCGTCGTGAGTATAATCTCGAACTTTTTCTGCATTAAGTATATCAGAATCCCATTAATTAGTTTAATATATATATTTTTTTGTTTCTTTACAGAATGAAGAGCTGGCGGTTCTGGCGTTGGCTGCGGCCCAAGAAGACAAAGAAGTGTGAAGGGCGTTCTCCTTCCGCAATCGATGAAGAGAGGGCCTTTTCCTCCTTTGAGCGGGGAGAGGAACTCTCTTCCATCGATCGCGGAAGGGGTTCTTCCTTCACGGGATCGCCTTCAGGAAAACGTATGTCAACAGCATTCTCTGTTCCCCGTTGAACGGAGAGGAGGCATTTCGCCATTCGGACGTGTTCCGAAAAGTGAAATGTCTCCATGTTGACGACATCATCTTTGCCGCACTGGGAGGGGAGGAATGTTTCGATCATTCTTCCCTTTTCCAACGAGTGGGATCCTCTCGTTCGGTATGGGCAAGGATGCAAAGGAAAAAGCGTCGCTTCGCAAGAAAACGCATGTGAACGACTTTTTCCTTTGCTATTTCTGAAGTTACATTTAAATTTAAGGTTTTAGTTTCATTTACTAACGTAGGATAAGAAGGCAAGAGATTTTTTTATTTATTTTTTCCATTTGTCATACTAACATTTAAACTAAAACCTTAAATTTAATTTACTAACCTAGATGTAAGAAGGCAAGAGGTTTTTATTTACTTTTTCCTCTTGTTGTACTTACATTAGTTTAGTAATTCACATTCACGCACAGAAACAACAACATACCTCACGCTGAAACACTCAGTTCAAACAACGATACGTTCGTCGCATCCAATCACCAACGATTCCATTCACGTGCATTATAAACAATACCGTTCACAAACCGAACACGCTTCCCAAAATCCAACCTCTGGGTCCATGTCCCGGGAAGCGGTAACATCGGTCGCAACGGCCGATGACCAAAGAGGCTCTGGTAACAAGTTACTTTTGATATTAACTCCTATGCTTTTTGACGGAAATTTCTGAAATTTGCAGGGGAGTTTGTATATTGTGTTTTTGAAGCTATTAAATTTTGATGGTTAAAGATTGAAGGGGTGAGGAGATAGAGGTCGTGTGTAAATATCTAGTGGGATCGGAGTTAACGATGATTTTACTCGTTATTAGCATTTACAATTTTCTATAAAACAACATCAAAATTAAGCTTTTTGCTATTTGACGATAATTAAAATTATAAAACGTTTATTAATAAAATATAATAACAGATGGCCTCACGCGCAGTTTTAAATGTTGCCGGAAAAGTTAAGCAACCTTTGTTTACATCGTAAGAGAAAGCCTTAATTAATACGAATTTTTGAAATGTCGCAGAAAGTGCATGTCTTTGGATAGAAGTGTCTCCAAAACATGCATGACTAGTATTTTACAACTTTCATCTTCCCATTGATCAGTTTAATAAACGAAAACTTTACTGAAAACCTATTTTGCTGCCAGCTTTAGTTTTAAAGCATGAGTATTTTCGGATTTTAAGGGGTAAATTTGACATACAGTCCCGTCTTTAGGTGTGGGCCTACCAAGGGTTCGGCCCAAGGGTCTCCTAACATTCGAAACCTCGAAAATATACAAAATTGAATAGAGGTGTGTTTTGTTTTAGTTACGGCAACGCAACACTTGGGCGATGCCTTCCGGGAGGTCTTTTTAAGGAAACTGGTTCCTATTTAGGCGTTATAGACGTGGAGAAAACCCGGAAAACTCCACGTGGCCAGCACGTCCGAGCGAGGCGTGAACCCACGACCGAACTCCCAGTGTTCAAAGAACGAAGACCACTTGGCCACTGTTGAGCCGAAATTGAATAGAGCAACAAGTAATAAAATTATAAACAACTAGCAGACCCCGCCACGCCTTGTTGTGGCTCAAAATGTATCTATTATAAATGTATAACACTTCCCCCGTGGGGGAAAATTTTTCGAAAAATTTTTTCTTAGTGTACATTCTCTTGACGTACCCTATTAAAACGCAATCAAAAGCGCAAAAACCCGCATCTAAAATAGTATAATAGAAGCCAAGTTTTTCACAGTAAACCTTAATCTTGTCCTTCTCCCCCGCGGGGAAAATATCGAAAAATTCCTTCTTACTTGTTAGTATACATTGTGTTGACGTACTCTATTAAAATGCAATCAAAAACGCAAAAAATCGCATCTAAAATAGTATAATAGAAGTGAAGTTCTTCACAGTAAGCCTTAATCCTGTCCCTCTCCCCCCGGGGGGAATATCGAAAAATCCCTTCTTTGTGTACATTCTGTTGACGTACCCTATTAAAATGCAATCAAAAATGCAAAAAACCGCATCTAAAATAGTATAATAGAAGTGAAGTTCTTCACAGTAAGCCTTCCCCGTAAGGCTTACCGTAAAGAACTGTCCATCCCCCATGTTTAATGGAATAATATACAGCCTATGTCCACCCTGAAGTTACATTCTAAATATTGGTGAAAAAATTTTTGAAATCGGATGAGTAGTTTTGGAGATTACCTGCTGCATCCAAACTTACTTACATACAAACATTACCTCTTTATAATATTAGTATAGATCAAGAGATATGTTTGATAAATTTTATTAAACATGAATATAACAATATGTTTAGTAGAGAAAACTAATTGAAAAAATTAATGAACGTTAATCCTTCATTACGAATTTCTTAATTAAGGGGGCCTCCAAGCTTTTCTTGGCCTAGGGCCTCGCGCACATACCAAAGACGGGCCTGAGGCCAGAAAATAATTTTATAACCGAAGTTGTTCACTCAACACTAGGGATGACGAATCTACGACACACGTGACCAAATTGACACATTGGTAGAAATCATCCGGCACGTAAAGTAAGATATCATACAATTTCGGCTTATCACCCGTCTTTTTTCAATCAGTTTCTTTACATTTACTACAATTAAATAAGGATATTCGTTTCATTTTTTAAAATACCCGTTATTCCAAATATAAAACCCCGTTACGCGTAAACATTTTTAAAGATAATTACGCTCACTACTTGGCACTCGAACTCGAAAAAGGTCATTCCCGCTGCAGGCCATCGCTATTATTTTAGCAGCAATACTATTTTTTTTTTCGTTTTTAATTTATAAACAAATTGACGTTAATTTTGTTATTTTATTTAAAAAATTAAGAATCATATTAAAAATGAAATTTACTTTTTTTATAATTCCATAAACTAAATCGTCTGACGAAAATGAGGTGGCGCTGTTTGTCATCGTTCACAGTTGATAGTTTATGACATCTGTTCGCTTGGAGATGTAAACAGTAAATATTTAGTTAAAAGTTATTTTTAAGTAAAAGTTGTTTCTTAAAATGATCTAATAAGTTAAGATAATAGAAAATAAAAATGTCTGGATATGATTCTGGAGTCGAAACTGGAAACGAAAGCAATGAAAGTCATTGCATGTCTGTGGAATCGTTAGAACAGAGCGAGAATGGCCAGGTAATTTATTTACTGTTATTTTATCCTGTGGATGTACGCAGAATCCAATATGATTTGTAATGTTTTTCATTGAGAATTATATGCGAATTAAGAAGTGATATATATATATTTTTTTTTTACAATTTAATTAAAATTTGTTTTTTTTAAATATAGGTTACAATAAAATGCTAAAAATGCAGGCATTTTAATTTGGCAAAAACTGATAAAAATTGTGTTTAAGTAAAATATAATTGAAATAATGTTTCTTATTTTTAAAAAAATTTATATTTGTGATGAAAAAGATGCAATACCATAGTAAATTTCAGGATTGTTCCATCTGATTTCCAGATTTATGGTCTGTCAGAAAGAACACCTTGCAACTCATTTAACTCAGATTGAGTTAACTATTTACAGTATATATGGCAGTACTTCTCGATTTCTACAGACAATGTAATCTAAAGCCTGGTTTTTTTCTGTCCAGTTCGCTCGGTTGAGTTGCCTTTTATCCCACTTCGAGATTCGAGGCGGTCCAATCCGGAACTGGGTTGGTGGCTTTCCTTTGGGTCTGCCTCGGTTGGCGTACCTGTCTCGACTCGTTCGGGACAACCCTCCAAAAATGGGTTCTGACGAATGGAAACCTGATTCGCTTTGTCTGTACTCATTAGGCTTCCTTGACAACAATACTAAAGTAATCAGTAAAATACCATTAAAATAAATAGATTGTAGAAGTTGATTGTTTACTTTTAACATAAAAAGAATTTGTCAGAATGTTAATTTTAGCATATACATAAAAAACATTCAGATTAACTAAAGTATAAATTTCATTGCATAAACAAAAAATTATTTGTATGAACTATCTGGCTATTATCCTTATAAGACTTGAAAGCTTAGATTGTTCCTTCAACTGGTTGCTAGCCAGGAGAAGGTGAATCTAGCAGTGGAGATACTTTAAAGCACTTTAGAGCACTTTGAAGCTCTACACTGAATTGATTATTGTCATTTCCTTAGTGTAAATGAGATGGTTATGCTGATATGTCTGTCCCCAGAGTGTTATTTGTTGAAATAGATTTCACTAAAGATGAGATTGGAATTAGCTACAAGATGGAATGATTGGAAGTTAGTGATGGGTAAAAAGTTGGGTTTATAGAAACAACATATTAAATGCATGACATCAAGGAAATTAAAGAAATACTAACCAAAAGAATCTAGATCCAATGATTGTCCTATGAAATGATAGAGAGAAAAGTTTACAGACTGTTTAGCTCAAATACTTAAAAGGATGATGAAACAAAAAAGCATGTATATATATAGTTCATATATCAATATTAAACACTGGAAATAAGAAACTATTAGATTTGTGAAATGTATTTCTCTACTATAAGTGCTATTTTATACATCTTTTATACAAGGTATTAACTTTATATTTGTTTTTTTCTTTACGAATAGGTGTATTAATAGACACAAGGCATTTTTACATCTTTATTCTGAATTTTCTATAGGCCAATACGCGTTTCGGGCAAAGGCCCCTCATTTGTTGGCATGACATCTGAGATTTTCTTTGTGTTGTGTTGATACATCACTTTATATTTATTGAAATGCAAATTCAAAAGAAATCTTTCCATCATTGCACTAGTATATGCATATGGTGCAATGGTTCCACTGCAATATTTACAATAAAATTAATTTATTCAAAAAAGGAATTTAAGTAAATTACATAAATAACTCTTATCTTCTATGCAAAGATAAAAGAAAATATATAACATAACATACAAACAATTTTTGATTGTAAAGGATAAATCCAGCATTGCATAAATTAATACGAAAATAGTTAATTTTATTTTGCTATAGTATAATGGAGTATAAATGAATTATCTAAAGTAATTATAAAACCTTATCATAACATGACTGACACTTGTAAAGCAAACGTCATCAATCTCAGGAGGACATCTAGGATTAAGCAATCTCCTAGTGGCATTGAAGAAGTCTCTCTTTAATTCCTGTTACTGATTTTACAAAAATCAGGAAACCTTTTTGTAAAGACTGAAATGATTATTATAAAAAAACCGCAAAGAAAAAAAAAATATTGTTAGTATGTACTGTACTGTACATATGTAAATGAGATAGAGTGGCAAGTTCATTTCTGACATCACACCCAAGACAAATAAAAATCCCAATGAAACTAAAGACAGTGAGGTGAAGCTGCTTAGAGTAAGAAAGGTGATTTCTATTGACAAATGGATTTTCTGGAGTTTTTGATGTGACAGTTAGATGGTGTAGATTGTAACAGTCTTTCTTTTGTTTATAAGTACAGTAGAGCATCAATTATCCGAATATTAATCAACCAAAACATTGGTTAACCGAAAGTGTTCCAGTCTGCAAATTTAAATTTCTGCTAGTGTAATGTTTGGCTATGTCTTGGGCTTCTTCAATATTATTTTTGTTGGTGTGCATGTTTCACCTAGCAGCACTGTCATGACATGAGAGGGTACTTAAGGATGTGCTAGGATTTGAATGAATTTCAACATGGGATAGGTTAATATATTTTTTCGTACATAATCGGTTATCCGAACAACCCCAGTCCCGAATTGTTTCGGATAATCGATGCTCTACTGTAATCTGGTTCTGATTTACCTTGTCAGTTTTTGTGGAGAATTAGTTTTATGTTAAATTTATGCCAGGATGAATCACAATTGCTTGAGCTTATTTTATGAACCAATGAGATACCTCTTTTCCAAAACAGTATGTATAAATGCATCAGTGGACACAATATATGCTACAATGCACATAAAATACATGACACTAAATACATTTTACAATAAGTATCTAGCATGATATCTGAAGTAAACAGGTTTTTGATCTAGAAGCATCTAGAAACTGTCTTGTCCATTGGTTGTCAAACTGTTTTGTTAACCACTGACACATCTACCTGAGACTGAGCTGGCATATGCTGCTGATAAAAAACCTACCATAGTTGTCCACCATCTAGTGCAGTGGTTCCCAACCTTTTTTCATTAGCGTACCCCGTGACATGTCATATCTATAGATTGTACCCCTCATTTAAGAAATTTAGTGAGTACCCATATTGTTAATTTTACATATTGTAACTTTAAATTAAAGAAAAAAAAATAAATGAAAAAAATGCATAATAAAGTTGTGATTGTTGCAAGGAACATTTTTTACCTAATAATTTTTTAATACTACCGTGTTTCCCCGAAAATAAGACAGTGTCTTATATTAATTTTTGCTCTGAAAAATGCGCTAGGTCTTATTTTCAGGGAATGTCTTATTTTTTCCAGGAAGAAGAATTCACATTTATTATTGAAAAAAAAATTTCCAAGTCGAACTTAGACGAGAGTGACGTATATCCGGGGTGTCGAACTGTCGCCTTTTTATAGTGTCAACATCGGACTCGATGACCAATTAGTGCTTACTGAACCGTAGCACTATGCAAATGTCATGTGGCGTGATTCCCGGCCGACCAATTAGCCATCACCAGCCGTAACGTTATGCAAATCTGTGATTCCCAAGCCATAGTCTTGTGCAAATCATGCCATGTGGCGTGATTGTCTGCTGACCAATCAGTGGCTGTACTTTCAAAAAGCCAACCGCCACTTTCAACCATCTGTCGATGACCGTTACGACTAAAAAAAAACTTCGCTAGGTCTTACTTTTAGGGGGAGGTCTTATATTTCGCAATTCAGCAAAATCTGGGCTAGGTCTTATTTTCTGCGGATGTCTTATTTTCGGGGAAACACGGTATTAGTTTGTGATACATAATATATTATTTTTTCTGCCATAATAACTGACTTTTTTCTGTACCCCTAAACAACCTATCGCGTACCACAGGTTGGGAATCGCTGATCTAGTGGATATTGCTGATGAATACAGGATCAAAAACTTGTTTATTCCAGATATCAGGCTAGATACTTATTGTAAAATGTATCTAGTGTCATGTATTTTATGTGAATTATAGCATATACTGTGTCCACATTATAGCATATAAATCTTCAGCAGCAATACAAAGATGTAGACAGCTGAGAGTAGCATTATGAGTAACATAACATAGGCCTATCTGGTGTCACTATTCTACAAGCCTCTTCTATTTACCTCTGCAGTATGTCAACATCACATGGCATGGCTGGATGTGCATTGTCCTTTTTGTCAATAGAAATCACTTCAGAAATCACCTTTCTTACTCTAAGCAACTTCACCTCACTGTCTTTAGTTTCATTGGGATTTTTATTTGTCTTGGGTGTGATGTCAGAAATGAACTTGCCACTCTATCTCATTTACATATGTACAGTACAGTACATACTAACAATATTTTTTTTTTCTTTGCGGTTTTTTTATAATAATCATTTCAGTCTTTACAAAAAGGTTTCCTGAGTTTTGTAAAATCAGTAACAGGAATTAAAGAGAGACTTCTTCAATGCCACTAGGAGATTGCTTAATCCGAGATGCCCTCCTGAGATTGATGACATTTGCTTCACAAGTGTCAGTCATGTTATGATAAGGTTTTATAATTACTTTAGAATTTTGTGCAGGAAAAGTAAGTTTTCATGTTTTAAACAAAACACATTCCCAAATTAAGTGATAATGATAACTACATAAAATCTTGGAAATAAAAAGATAATGGTTAGACTCGGCTCCTTACAGCTTTATAAACTTTATTGTTTGTTTGCATGATGTCAAGTGTTAATTTTTTTCAAATGATCTTAATCAGTTTCTGCTGTCTATGCAGTGAATCTTCTTGCACATGTACAGTTTATGTGAGAAATATTACTCCACCATCCAATTACAGATGACTGTGTAAAATTCAAATGTTTTAAACTTGAACCATCCTAATTCACATTCTTCTGAAGTTTTACAAACATTTTTCTTTGCTGTGGAAATCTCTCATTTTTTTTCAAATTTTCCAAATCCTTTGAATTAATTGGATTAAAATTATTATAAATGCTATACAGTGGTGCCTCGTATAATGTACGCCTCAAATAACGGATGCTGCGAACAACAGACTTTCT